CTCCTTGAGCGCCCCTGGCTGCCGGATTCGACAGGATCCGTTGTGCCCTGACGGCAGCCACAGCTGGTTCTCCGTCTCGTAAACTGTGCGCTCGATGAGCCCGGCCGAGCCGTCGCGAGCAGCCAGCCGCGTGCCCGCCAGGAAGGTGAAGACGTCGGGCGGGCTGGGCGGGTGGTCCGGGCTGCCGGCGTAAAAGACCGCCTGTGGGGAAGAAAGAAAGACGCGGGTAGGTCCGCAACGCGCCTCTCTGGGGCGAAAGAGTGCAACGGCGAACCTCGTCCGCGTATCGCTCCGCCGCGGACGACAGGTAGACGTTGAAGAAGGCGCGCGTGCTGCTCTTGCGCGCGAGGCTGAACGAGAAGGAGATGCGGCCGGGCCTCACCGCGCCTCCAAACTCGCGGACGCAGCCGCTAAAGTTCATGTGCCAGCCGCCGCAGACGCGCAGGAAATGGCGCGGCCGCGGCGGGTCCCTACGGAGGCATATGCGGTGTCGTGGCAATGCTGGAATGCGACCTCGGCCTCCACGCAGCCCCGCGCTGCCAGGACGGGTGGAAGGTGAGGACGAGGTCAGAGGCGCTGGCGCGAAAGGCGGCGCCACGGAAGTCGCCGGCGGGCTGAACCCACCACTGCGCCACGCCCCGCCACGCCGCGTGCAGGCTGCCCGCCGCCGCCTTTGCGAGCAGGAGCACCTCCGCCCTCTCGCCCTGCTGCTGCGAAGAAGGGGCGTGCAAGGCACGGCAGCCCGGCGCGAGGGGGAGGGAGAAGCTGACAGCTGAGCTGCCCAGAGGCGCCTCGCGACCCGGAGCGGATGAGCTGGCTCCGCCGCCCCGGGAAGGGCCTGGGGTCACCTCGAGAAGGCGGTAGGCCGCGCGGCTGGGCGGCGGCGCCGACGGGCCGCGCTCCCAGCGAGAGGAGAAGCCCGAGGAGAAGTCCTCGTGCAGCAGCGCCGCCTCGGCGCGCGAGACAACGCGGAGCGACGAGCCGGGCGTCACGCCGCGGAGCCGCATCGTCATGGGCAGGAGCGTGGCGGCGTCGGCGCGGAGAGACGGGCAGACGGACAGCAGACGAGCGATGTCGGCGGCGGGCAGCGCGAGGAGGAGGGAGGAGAGGAGGTGCGGGTGCGCGGCGATGGAGAGGAGAAGGCTGTCGTCCTGGAGGGCGCCGACTGGCTCGGGCTGCATTACACATGCGGGGCGGCACGCCGCAGGCGGGGCGGCATGCCGCGGCTCAGCTTCAGGTGAGTTCATCTTGCCGGCGGTAATCGACGCTGCTCGAACGGCAGTTGTCGACCGCCGGCATCGAGCGGGCAGTCCACGTCAGTCCACGGCGCTCGAAAAGAATAAAATTAACCACCAAGGCGCTCTCAAAGAATAAAATTACGCCGTACCACAATGCCAGTTCTGTCATCCTGGTGCTCAAGGAAACGGGAAGCGGCGAAATGAATCCTGCTCGTGCAGGTGGGGACCCTGTCCTCGTCCCATCCCTCGTTTGGCGTGTCTGTTTTCTTTCTTTCTTTCTTTGAGAGAGAGTCTTTCTTTGTCATCCTCAAGGAAACGGGAAGCCGACGGTTGGTAGGAATGGGGCTGGCCAGATTTGGCTTGGAGTTTGGCTGCGTCGAGTTTTGGATCTCGACGCGCGTCCGAATAGAGAGAGAGAGATTTTTAGCAATACCAAACAAATCTAACACTCACACGTCATTTGGGGCCTGGAGCCCTGTTCACGCGCGCGCGAGACGTGCAGACAGGGTTGCCAGGTGAGAGCGAATGGCGCGGTTCACGCCTCGCACAACAGAGAGAGAGATGCGCTCTGCATGGTGGGACATAAAAGAAAGCGAGTACTTGGGCGAGTAGGCCGTGCGGTCGACGCTGCCGCGCGCGACTTTGCGCGCGAGGCGGCGCAGTTTGAGAACGGCGGTGGGCGAGAAGCCGCCGCCGAACGTCTCGTGGAGCAGCAGGTTGAAGTTGTTGCGCTTGACAAAGATCGCGTCGTGGTTGTTCCGAATAGTGCGATTGCAGTCTATGTACCTCTTAGGTACATTCCCGTAGGAGACTCTGCTGACATTTTTGGTGGCCCCATGGGAGGACGGCACGCCGCCACCACACAGGGAGCGGCTTAGAATTTGAAAAAATCTCTCCATAGAGGGCGTTATGGGCCTAGCTTTTTGGTAGGATAAAAAAATTCTGTGCCTGCGAGCGACGACATGCTGGCGTCGCAGGCGCCCCAGCCGATCCAACCGACTCCCTCCGTGGCAATCATCGGCGGCGGCATCGGCGGCGCCTTTGCCGCCTGGTGGCTGCGCAATGCTTCACCGGCGGTGCGTATCGACGTATACGAGAGGTCATCGGCCGTCGGCGGGAGGACGCTCGACACCGGCGAGGGTGACGCCTCCGTGGAGCTTGGCGCCTCGATGGCCATCGTGCAGAACCGGTACGTTGCAGAGGCCGCGACTGCACTCGGCCTCTCCAGGCAGCTGCGCAGTGAAGCACGCGGTCGCGGAGGCGGGAGGCTCGGTATCGTGGGCGCGAACGGGCGGATTGTGTTCGAGGAGGCGCCATCCGGCGTGCAGACCGCCTGGCGGCTGCTCTCGCGGTACGGGCTGCGGCCACTCCACCGGCTTCGGCGGCGGGGGTCCGAGTTCATCTCCAACTTTTCGCGGCTGTACGAGGCGCAAGCCGCCGGGCGCGCCTTCCGCGAGGGCCGGCGACCAAATACACACGCACTTCACATCAGTGAACTCTTTGGTTGAGTTTCATCCGCCAGGCGCGCCTTCCGCGAGGCCGACGACCTGCTTGCCGCGGCGAGCACAGCGGCGTTGGCCTGCATGCCCTTCCTTTGTCAGCTAATTAGTTGGTTGCTGCTAACGAAGGCGGGCTTGGAGGCGTGGCCCCGCATGACCTGCGCAGCGGCGATGGCGGAGGCGGGGGTAGGGGGCGAGGGCGAGGGCCGGCGGTGGAGGAGCTGGTGGCTGTGAACAGCGTCTCTTCACGGCTGTGGCCGTGAACAGGCGAGGGCCGGCTGGTGGAGGAGCTGGTGGCTGGACTCATGCACAACAACTACGGGCAGGCGTTAGCACCCCGAGCCCCCTCTTTCCTTTGCACACCTGGTGCTACAGAGGGCAGCCGCCAGCACGCTGGCATCTCCCCACGGGGGGAGCCCATCGCACCACCAGGTGGAAGAGAAGCAGCGGGCAGGCGTTAGCACCCCGAGCCCACCGGGCCCACACCTTGGTCCCACTCAGGAGCCTCCTGGCGTCGGCTGTGGGTAGGGTTGGGCGCAGAGCGTACCACAGCTCAATCAATGAGTTGATGAATCAGTGGATCAGTTCATGCTACTGCTAGGCTTGGGCACCGAGCGGAGCCCTCTGCTGCTTCACCGCCGTGGCGCCGCTGGCCGCCGGCGGCTCGTCGGCAGCGTTCAGCGTCGTCGGCGGCAACGGCGCGCTCGCGCCGCGGCCTGCTGGCGTGGATGATTCTGAAAGGTTCTGAGTTGATGACCAATTTGAATGAATTAGGCGCGCTCGCGCGCGGCCTGCTGGCGGCCTCGAATGCGACGGTCCGCACGTCGCACAGCGTCAGGGCGGTGCGGGAGGGCGAAGGGGGTCGGCTGACCCTCTCGTACACAGGCACCGCCAGGAAAGGGGGGGGGGGGGGACTTAATCGTTTGAATAGTGGTGCCCGAGCTCTCGTACACAGGCGCCGCGGGGGAGGAGGGGGCGGCGACCTACGACCACGTCATCTACTCTGCCCCTTGCGCCGCCGCACCGGACGGCGGCGGTCTGCTGCAGCGATGCTCTCTGTTGGAGTACCAGCGACTTCACGTGACGCTGGTTTGGGGGCTGCTGGACCCTAGAAGCGGACGACGCACTCATGGACGTATTCGGCCCCGTCTCCCGCTGTGGTCGCCAAGTCCCTTCCAAGTTTCGTCTAGATTCTCCCTCGATTCCTTTCCTTTCCCCTCGATTCCCCGCTAGGCTGCTCGACCCCGCCTTCTTCCGCGCCCGCGCGGACGGCGAGGCAGACGACGGCGCTAGCACGGAGGAGGAAGCGCTTGCCTTCAACGCCGCCTTTTCGGACCTGCTGACCGCGGCCGACGCCGACGTTCCCTTCCTCTCGATCGGGCGGTTCGGCGAGGCAGCGCCGCCAGGCCATCTCTCGGCCATCTCTCGGCCATCTGTCGGCCATCTCTCGGCTATAAACTCGGCTATCTCTCGGCAGGCCCCTCCCGCTCCCCCGGCGCGTGCGACCGGCTGTACGCAACGTCGCCGACCCCGCGGTGGAAGCTCTTCTCGCGCGACGCGCTGTCGGAGGAGCGCCTCGCGCCGCTCTTTCTCTGCCACGACGACGCCCTCACGCGGCGGCACGTGTGGGATGCTCCCGGCGCGTACCCGGCGAGCCGCCCTCGAAGGGGGGTCGCCCATGTGACCACTCCTTCATTCATCGGTGAATGCATCGATTCATGAATGAGCAGGCGATCCGCGCCGCCCCTAGCTGGTCCGAGCCCTCCCCCCTCGCTGGCCAATCGACCGGCTCTCCGGACTCGGTCATAGGTGAGCCGACCCCGGCCGAGTGGGCTCGGCACCTTCGTGCTGCACGAGACCGCGGCCGGCTCGCTCTGCCCCTGCACCCTTCGGAGGTGTCGGAAACAGGACTCACCCCCGCGCTGTGTTTCTTTTTAGGCGCGCTGCTCCTGCACCCGTCGGCCGTCGAGGCCGCGACGTCGGCCATGGAGGTGGTAGCGGTGAGCGGGGCGAATGCGGCGCTGCTCGTGGCGCAGCGGATCGGGGGGGCGCAGCGGCGGCAGGGGGGTGGAGGGGATGGGCACGACAAAGTCGCGCCGCGGGACGAGTTGTAGCAGTCTCTAGAACCCTCGACCCTCGACGCTCGACACGAGACTGCAGGCTCACGATAGAGTCGAGAGGATTGGATTGTATTATTTTTGAGCTAGACTTCGTTGTTAATAGGAACAAGCGAAGGCACACACGATTATTTTTTAAGCTTTTCGGCGCACGAAATTCTTTTTATTGCTGCTCTCTCGCGCCCACATGGATTCGCGCCTCCACGACAAGTCTACAAGCAATTGCATGATCTACAGCGCGTATGCGGTATGGCCATGGGCATGCATGTGCCAAAATGGCTTGTGCTCTCTACGTCTAGGAAAAGAGGCTCTACGGTAGGGCTTATGGCACAACGCCTATGACGGTGAGGAATTTGCCGACCATGCTGTCGGACGACGAGGAAGGCTCGCCATAGGCGCGGCTCAAGCTCTGCGAGGAGTAGTGAGTATCCGGAACGAGGAAGGTGCTCTGCGCATTCCAGAAAAGGGGGAGGGGCGTCGGCCACTGCTGTGTGGCAGGGGGGCGGGAGGCCAAGGGAGAGAAGAGGGGCGGCGAGGCTGTGGGAGAGGGGGGCGCGTCACCTCGAGCTCGACGCCCTCGCCAAAGGAGACATTGCGGCGGAAACCGGTTCGGACGGCGACCTGCTCCAGGTCCGAACTGGAACTGGGCCTAACGCCGCGCACCTGTCCGAGCGGTGACGAGGAGAGCGAGGACCTCCTCGAGGACGAGGGGGAGAGAGAGCTGGTAGCCGCGAGGACCTCCTCGAAGTCGTTGGTCGGCGACGTCCTCATCTCCGCCCAAGCCAAGGGCAGGGTAATCACTCGACGGAGAATCGGAGAGGCAGGTTTGGCGTCGGGCGGCGGAGGCAGGTGGCGGTGCGCGAAGCAGGCGGTGAGCGACCTCTTGGCGGGGGGGTCGGGTCGTTGCTTTGGCCAGCCGTGGCGGGCGGTGACATCGTCATCGGTGTTCAACGAGGCGTGGACAACGGGCGGGACAACGGCAGGGCTGAGCGATTGCGAACGGGCGACGAAAATCGGGAGGGGGCTCGGCGAATCGTATCGAGTTGATGCCAGATCCTCGCTGTCCTCGCTGCCCTCGCTAAAGTCACACCCTTCTCCCCCCGTGCTATACTTCTCGACGAGCACCAGGTTCGGGCATGAGGAGGCTCTCTTCATCGAAATGCTGAGCCCGTATCCGCTGGGATCCGATTTTGGCGTGCACGAATCAGACCGACCGAGATCTCGGTCGGTTCCAAAGGCGCCATACCCCTGAATTGATTTTTTATTAGTTATGTGCGGTTGACTGCACTCCAAGTGCTCCAAGCTGAGGGGAAGATTTGCTTGAAGACCCAATCTCTGACACACGAAAAAAAGAAAGTCTACATAGCAAGTCTAATTATAAGTTAACGGTTGCACGCGGGCTATACCAACCACCGACGACCTGGGCACATGCCAAACAACTCTAACACTCACACGTCATTTGGGGCCTGGAGCCCTGTTCACGCGCGCGCGAGACGTGCAGACAGGGTTGCCAGGTGAGAGCTCTATCTCTCTCTCTCACATGCCACTATTACAATTATTAATCGCGAACACGTGGAGGCAGCGCGGCAGGCTGCACGAGGTGGAGGGGGCATCCTTGTGGCGTCGCTCCTCTGGCCCTGGCGGTGTGAGCCACGGGGTCATGCAGGGCGGGCCGCTGCTGGCCCTCGACGGTATATTCAGTCCGAGTCGGAAAGCGCGTCCAGGCCGTCCACGTGTCGGAGCCGAAATCGTTGGGTAGTTGCCGCCAAAGTCGTCCGTGCCACCACCGCCGGTCGGGTTGAGCATAATGCATTAAATGTGTGTCGCGCCTGCGCGCTCGGTGTGTATGAAAAGAAATCCATATCACGCTGCTCCACGCCACTGGGGCTTTAGGCGGTGAGAGGGTGGGACGCTAGGCGGCGCGGTTCGCTTACGGGGGAGTCGGGTGTTACATGTATCGGCGTAGCTAGAGGCCCCATCACCGATGTCGTCGAGTGGGATGGTTGTACCTCCTCCGTTGTGCGTTGATAGCCCTGCGCTGTCGGGTCGCCCACGCGGTGGGGGTAGTGCTGCTCTCCCCTTGCAACATATACACTACACAAGCGCAATCCACGTCGCGCCCGCCAGAGGCAGAGGTGAGCAGAACTCAACTAGACACACTCATATAGCAAGGCCTCGCAGACTAGCGCATGCGCGTGCGCTCACGCCACTCGGGCGCGGAAGCGGAGCGCCGCGCCGTTGACGCAGAAGCGCGGCCGCCGCGCACCCGCCCGTGGGTCTGACGGCGGCACGGCCAGCGCGGGCGCCGTGTCCTCAATGGCTGGCCCGTCGAGAAAGACGTGGCCGAGGTGGCCGCCGCACGCCTCGCAGTGCACCTCGGTCGCGGAGCGGACGCTGCCGCCGTCCAAGTAGCCGCCGCCGGCGTACTCCTCCCGGTAGCCGACGGCGCTCTCCGCTGCAGTCCTCCAGAACGAGGGCCAGCCCGTGCCAGAGTCAAACTTGGCGGACGAGTCGAAGAGGATCGCACTGCATCCAGCACAGGCGAAGGCGCCGTCCCTCACGCCGAAGTTGAGCGGCGACGTCCACGCCGGCTCGGTCAGGCCAAGCCGGAGGACGGCGAGACGGAGAGGAGAGCGGGTCGCCGTTGGGTTCAGTCGGGCGTCGAGCCTGTCAACCGTCCAGGCCACGGCGAGGCCGGCGGCGATGTAGCTATCCGCGAACGAGAATTACACGACGTACTCTGGAAAGAGAATTCCTCCGACCATTCTACCTGGGAATTTCTTCTTGCCGTGCCGTGCCGTGCCCAGACCGGATGTAGAGCGCGATTTTGCTGTAGAGTTTGTTGTAGAGGCTCTACAGCCAAACCGCCGTGCATACGGTACCGTTTTGCGCGTTTGCACCGTTTTGAGAGAGTGAGAGACGTGCTCACGAACGATCCAGGCACTTGCTGTGCTCGTTCGAGGCACCGGACACGCGGCAGACACCCTCTTCGTGCCGCACGCACCTTGACGCTTGAGGCTTGAGACCGTCTCCGGACTCGTACAGGCAGTTCTCCGAAAAACGTCACTCGACACAGAAGTCGGGGTGTTGAGATTTTTTCGTCGAGTGGGTACAAAAGTGATTTGGGCTCGGCAGCTTGTCAGCCCTCAGCCGAAGCTGGGGCCGGTCCTCCCGTCGCCGAGAGAGCCGACTCGTTCCTATGTGCTCGTACCACTGGAGTTTCGTCCTCCTCGGGTTCGTCTTCCCCGGCTTCCTCCCGTTCTGCTCTACGTTCAATACGGTGTAGAACGTTTTCTTTTCATGCGAGAGGCTGACGCGGCAACTGGAGCACGGCAGCGACAGGCTAGACGACGGGCCCCCCCACGCTTTCGTCAGCTTTCGTCAACGCAAGATGTCACCCCCCACGACGCTGCTCCTCTCCGCCGGCCTCTTCTTCTGGCTCTCCGCTGCGCCGGCTGAGTCCTCGAGGGCGGTGCTCCTCGTGGCACTCGGTGCGGCGCTGAGTTTGCAGCTCCTCGGGCACGCCATCTCCCTCGCGTACTCGCGCGTGCTGCCCCTCTCGCCTGCCCGTGATATGTACGTGGTGGTCACTGGTGCCTCCTCGGGAATCGGCAAGGCGTGTGCGTTCGAGCTCGTGCGTCGCGGCTTCAACGTGCTCCTCGTCGCGCGGCGCGCGGCACTGCTCAAGGAGGTGCAGGCGGCGCTCCTATCGGAGGGTGGCGGCGGAGTGCTTGTGGGTGTGCTGCCACTCGACCTCGCCGACGCCACCCTCGACGCCGGCGAGGCTGTGCTCCGCGCCCTCGCAGAGCGTGGTGCGTACTGCGGGGCTCTGGTGAGCGCAGCGGGAGCCAGTGACCGGCGCGAGTTCGTGGAGTGCAGCCGCGAGGAGCACCGGTGGGCAGCCCGCCTCAACTACACGTCTCACGTCGAGCTCATACGCACGCTCGCGCCGCCGATGTGTGCGCGCCGCCAAGGGCGCGTGCTCGTGATCGGCTCGATCGTCGGCTCTGCGGGCCAGCCATTCAACGCGGCTTACAGTGCGAGCAAGGCGGCGCTGTCAAACCTGTGCGACGCGGTGCACTATGAGCTGGCCCTCAAGGGCGTGGGCGTCACCTGTGCGCTGCCGGGAGCAACCGACACGGGCTTCGCGCAGGCGGGCGGCTCGGAGGACGGCCTCATATTCAAACTTCCGACGACGAGCGCCGCACAGGTGGCGGAGCGCGCAGTGCTCGCGATGCTGCGAGCCGAGCGGCAGGTGGTGATCGGGCGCGTGTCGACGTTCTTCTACTTGTGCGGCCTGTACTGCCCGGCGCCAGTTTCGCTCGTCGCGGGCGCGCTGTTCTGGAACAGCCCCTCTGGAGCGCTTGCCCACTTCAGGTCGTTCCTGCGCGATAAATAATTTTTGTAATAAATAAATACAGCAGTCATCTCTCCGGAGAGACGGGCGACGCACGAACACAGAGGAACAGCGCGCACCCCGCCCAGCTCGCACGGGCGAAGCACCCGCAAAATTCTTTTCTCGCGATGTCTAAACCGCCGCGCCGCCACTCGCGCCGCCTCGCCCCCGCCTCCGCCGCCGCCGCCGCCGCGCCAAGCACGCCGCCGCCCGCCCGCCTCCTCGACCTCCCCACGGAGCTCCTCGTGCGCGTCGTCTCTCGCTGCGACCCCGCCGACATCGCTCGCGCCGCGGCCGTCTCGCTCCTCTTCCACGCCTCGCTGGCGCTGGAGGGCATCCGCTTGCGCTTGCAAGAGGCCGGCTACGAGCCGCCGGCGCAGCCAGAGGGCGAGGGCTGCGCCGTGCGGTGGCTGTGCTTCTATGCCTTGCTGCGCGAGGCTAACCCGCCGGCGAGGCTGGCGGCGGGCGCACGGCACAGCGTTTTTATCGACGGCGAGGGGCGGCTCTCGTCGTGCGGCGCGGCAGCGGAGGGCGAGGAGGACGAGGAGGAGGACGAGGAGGACGAGGAGGAGGAGATTCCAGGCCTTCTCGGCCACGGCGAGGGCGTGTTGCAGCTTAAGACGCCGACCCGTCTCCCGCCCTCCGGAGGCGTGCGCGCGATCGGTGTGGCGGCGTCATTTTACTTCAGCCTCGCTCTCTCCGCGAACGGCGCCCTTTGGTCCTGGGGCAGCGGCGGGGACGGCAAGCTGGGACACGGCGACGAGCAGCACCAGCTGCTGCCCAAGAAGATCGAGGCCTTTGTTGGCCAGCGTGTCATCGCTGTGTCGGCTGGACCCGTGCACAGTCTCGCCCTCACCGCTGACGGCAGCGTCTGGAGCTGGGGCTGGGGAGGCGAGGGCCGGTTGGGCCACGGTGACGAGGAGAACCAGCTGCTGCCCAAGAAGGTCGAGGCCTTTGCTGCACGGCGCGTCGTTGCTGTGTCGGCTGGACCGTTCCACAGCCTCGCCCTCGCCGCCGACGGTGCCGTCTGGAGCTGGGGCGCAGGAGCCTATGGCCAGCTGGGCCACGGCGACGAGCAGCAGGACCAGCTGCTGCCGAAGAAGGTGGAGGCGTTGGCAGGGCGGCGCGTCGTCACTGTGTCGGCTGGAGGCGGCCACAGCCTCGCCATCACCGCCGACGGAGCCGTCTGGAGCTGTGGCATGGGATACGCTGGCCAACTGGGCCACGGCGACGAGCAGCACCAGCTGCTGCCCAAGAAGGTCGAGGCCTTTGCTGGGCGGCGCGTCGTCGCTGTGTCGGCTGGAGCCGCTCACAGCCTCGCCCTCACCGCCGACGGCGCCGTCTGGAGCTGGGGCGATGGAGACTCAGGCCAGCTGGGCCACGACGACGAGCAGAACCAGATGCTGCCAAAGAAGGTCGAGGCCTTTGCTGGCCAGCGCGTCGTCTCTGTGTCGGCTGGAGGCGGCCACAGCCTCGCCATCACCGCCGACGGCGCAGTCTGGAGCTGGGGCGCTGGCGGACTCAGCCGCTTAGGCCATGGAGAGGACCTGTCGAACCAGCTGCTGCCCAAGAAGATCGAGGTGTGGTCGCGGGAGTGAGAGGGGGGCGAGGGGCGCGTGGCTGATATAGGAGTGCGACCGACTCGGGAGAGGCCAAGATCCGGATAGGGTAGGAGGGCCAGCTGGCCAAGTGCTAGACCCTAGGGCACGCTACAGATACTGGTGGCTTGGTAGCGCCGGGTTCCTCTCTCTAGGGAGAGCTTCCATAATAAGCAAGGGTCGGTCTCTCGCCCACCAACCATCGGGAGGACGACCCCGGCTAGTCGCCGACCACACCCACAAAGAACCCTGCACAAAGATCGCACGGGCGGGGGCCGGTTCCTTTTTTACCCATCTCACAGTAGAGGTGTCCGTTTTACTTTAATTTTTTATTTACGGGGAGCGGACCGTGAGTTGAGGAAATCGAGGGACGCGACCCACTTCGCCACAGACGGTCCCGCGCCTCGCCGCTATGTTTGCGGCACGCCCCGCACCGTCCGCTGTGCCGCGTTTTTTGTCCGGAGTGAAAAGTCCAACGCGCTCGTCGGTGGCGGCTTCCCTCAACCTGCGCCGCGCTCGGCGAACCTCGACAGCGCTTTCGGTGGCATGCAGCTCTTTGCGACAGAAGCCTGGAGAGCAGCTCCTCTGCTGCTCACACACTCTGCACAGTTGACACAGGCTACTGTGCGGCTGCCACAGCTGTGACAGCGATGGGCTCGCCCTCACTGGCCCTCAGTCACTTGTGCTGCGGCTTGTGTGAGCGACACTGCTCGGCGACTGCCGGCACACTGTGAGACCATGGGTGTGAGGTTAAACCACGCTACCAGCGCTTGGTCACATCGGCCCCGAGATCAGATCCTTCTACTCTGTTAGTGACAAGACTTGTCTACTCGCTGGAGCCGAGCAGGAGGGCCAGGCGCACAACCCCTGGTCAACTCACGGTCCACTCCCTTTATGTACTCTCTTGGTGTCTTGCAGGATGCAGCGCAACAGGCCAGACGCATTTGAGCGAGGGAGGGTTTCTGAACGGCCGCGGCATGCACAGCATGCCGGCTTACTAAGAATATCCCTCCATAAAAAGTGAGAAAGAGAGGAGAGATTCAGGGCGCGCGCCGGCGTGTGTGCGTCACCGTGTGGTTGAAGGGCCGCCCGCGCGGCGCGGCGGCCAGCGGGGCACAACCTCCACAAGGCCTCTCTGCTCTCTCTCTCTCTCTCTCTCTCTCTCTCTCTCTCTCTCTCTCTCTCTCTCTCTCTCTCTCTCTCTCTCTGGCTCTCTCTCTCTCTCTCTCTCTCTCTCTCTCTCTCTCTCTCTCTCTCTCTCTCCCTCTCTCTCTCTCTCTCTCTCTCTCTCTCTCTCTCTCTCTCTCTCTCTCTCTCTCTCTCTCGGCGCGGGCGTTTACGGCGCCCTCGCGGGGGCGGGACGTGCGCATGAGAGCGCGGAGAGGGGCGCCGCCGCCCGCCCCATATGAGATTGGGCAGTGCCACGGCGGAGGTATTGTAGTCAGACGGTATCGTACCCAAACTGTTCATAGTCATCACCGGCCCTGGGTGTGATCGCGTCGACCCAGTCGACTGAGGACACGTCATCATCATCATCCGCAGAGTCGTTGGTGTAGTTGCACGTCTGGTAGTACACGTCGTACATCATCTGCTTCCGCTTGCGGTGGGGCTCCCACTGCGCCTCGCTCCAGTCCACTTGGCTGTGCCCGTGCTGCCGCAGCCATGCAACCACGCGTGGTGCTCCAGTGAACGTAGAATCGCTCCAGGTGGCCGCCGGACGCCGCGGCCTGCGTGAGCTTCTTGCTCCGTGGCAGCGCATCGAGCGCGTCCAGCCACGAGAGGATGTCAACGCGGCCGGCCGTCGCCGCACTCAGCCCTGCCCCGTCGCTCAGCGGGCAGTCATCGGCCACCGCCCAGTGGAGGTCGCGCATGTCCACATGCGCGCACTCGATCAACCGGCTCAGCGTGTGGGACGACCACGGCGCGCCGAGCTCCCGCAGCCAGCGAACAAAGGAGAGGTCCGCTGGCCGCTCTCGCCCGCTCCACGGCCCATAGAAACAGTAGCCTTCGAGAGAGCCGTTGATGGCACTGCCCACCTCGACGGCGCCAGCATGGTCCATCTCGTCCCACTCGCAGCCCTGCTCCCGCAGCCATATGACCGCCTCGCGACTCCGCGCTCTCGCGGCCGCCTCCATGACGCCGCCATCGGGCCGACTGCCACACGAGGCGAGCCATTGCATGGTGCCGAGCTGCCCACCGTACGCGGCGCCGCGGAGGACCTTGGTGCTTCGCACGAGTGGGACACGCGCCTCGTCGAAATTGTATGTCGAGCACCGCACACCCTCCGCGACCGCTCGCTCAAGCACTTTCCGCCTTCCGAACGCGGCGGCCTCCACGCACAGGTCTGTCTGGTCGATAGGGTCGCCGCAGTCCAGCAGGCCCAGTTCGATGGCAAGTTCGAGACGCGCCACGGACGCCGAGCCCATCTGAATCACCGTCAGCACGCGTGGTGACAGTTGCCAACCCCCGTGGCCGCCATAGCGCGGCGGACAGATGGCGAACACAACGTCGCGCAGCCGTCGGCACGTCAACGCTATGCACAGTAGATCCCTCGTGCCGACGCTCGGGCCCCAGCCGTTTCCCACGCTCTCAAGGTCGTCCATGGCTGTGGCGATGGCAATAGCCTGAAGCTCATGGTCATTCAACGCCATGAGGCCGACCGCGGGCTCGTCATCCTCGTTCGTCCTCTCCTCGTTTGCCTCGAAGAATACCGACGAGCTTCTCGGCTTCGGTGAGTAGAAGGGCGCGCTCCTCGCTGCTCAGCGCACAAGCCGACAGCGCGCTACACAGATGGTCGAGGCCGAAGAGACGGGGGTCGGCGCGAGACATGTGCCCAACGGCGCGTTGCGATTTCGCGCCTTGCGATTTTTGTGCCCAGGGTTCCCACTCGGGAAAAAGGTGTGTACACCCCAAATCGGGTCCGGACTTCGGACCCGATTACGCTGCCGCCTCGCGCGCGCCGCTGCTGCCCTCGCCGGCAGCCGCCGCGGTCGCAGTGCCATCGTGCGGACTGGCGGTCGACTCGCCACATCGATTTCAACTCACGCGACGCGCTCGGCCTCCGCTGGCGGCTGCCGCAAGAGCGGCTGGCTCACGGCAGCGTCTCGCCGGTTGCCGGATAGGAGAGTACAGAACGTCTGGAGTGTAACTGTGTACGTGAGATCGGTTTTGATAACAAGCACGGTCGATCCGTCAAAGCGATACACTCGTTCCTATCTCGCTGGAGGGCTGGCACGGAGCTCTGTGCCGACAAACAGGAAGAGCCGAGCGGCAAGATCCAAGAAGGGCTCGATGGGGAGCGAGAACCGTCAAACGTGCTCACGGAGGTTTCGGAAGTCCACCCTGATGCGGTCGGTTCCCCCCCGGTTGAACGCGCAGCTCGCAAGACTCGTCGAGCACTCGCAGCCTCTCTGCGCCTCTCATGCTGCCGCACTGCGGGATGTTCAGTCTTTCCGGAAGATATCGTCGAGTTTTGGAAGCTGCGCGGTCAAACCTGGGGGGAAACAAGAGCGTCACGACGGACTTCAGGTTACACCTGAAGCTCTTTTGACGGTTCTCGCTCCCCATCGAGCCCTTCTTGCCGCTCGGCTCTTCCTGTTTGTCGGCACAGAGCTCCGTGCCAGCCCTCCAGCGAGATAGGAACGAGTGTATCGCTTTGACGGATCGACCGTGCTTGTTATCAAAACCGATCTCACGTACACAGTTACACTCCAGACGTTCTGTACTCTCCTATCCGGCAACCGGCGAGACGCTGCCGTGAGCCAGCCGCTCTTGCGGCAGCCGCCAGCGGAGGCCGAGCGCGTCGCGTATCGATCGAGCTCGCGATCCGGGCCGTGGAGCCCACGAGGAAGACTTCGTCTGCTGGGACGGAGTCCCGACGCTCGTTGCGTCCGCCGGAAGTGGGGTCTGCACACCTTTCGTGGCCGCGTCCCGCAGTGGTTTGAGGGTGAGGGGTCGGCGAAAAACAGAGAAAGCGCTCGTGACGTTGAATTCTTTTGCGGTGCGATCACGCCCTGCGAGCGGGGCGGGGTGCGCACTGTCCCTCTGTGTTCGTGTGCGTCGCCCATCTCTCCCTGGAGATGCTCTATTTATTTATTGCGGTGATTTTAGAAAACCAACAAGAAATCACGACTCTCACAGTGATTTGGGCTCGGCAGCTTGTCAGCCCTCAGCCAAAGCTGGGGCCGGTCCCGTAGCCGAGAGAGCCCGCGCCGTGAGTTCGACACGTGCTCTCGAGCGCCGGGTCCTCAACCGCGTCCCGGTTCAGCAGGGCCGACGTCATCCGCGGGGCAAGCGCAAGGCGCGGTGCATAGGATTTTATCACGGCGCGTTTGGAGTTTTCGCGCGCCAAACGTTATTAATTAATTAAATCGGCACTCCGGTGGTTGAGGGGTTGAGGGTTGAGCCCCCTCAAGCTCAACCCGCTGGTTGACGGTTGAGACCCCCGTCAACCCTTTAGTGGAGGCCTCCGGGGGTTGGCGAGCTTTCAGCTCACTTTGACGACGCTATTGGTGGACTTGCCCTCTACGCCTCCTTCTAGAACAAAGGGGCATGTTTGGTTTACCACCCTGCGCGTGATACTTGCCGGCGGAAGCCCCACGGCCTTGTCGTCGTTGTGGCGGCGGCGGCGGCTGAATGTGCACGCTCCGGTGCCTCACCGGCACAGAAGGTCGGCACGTCCTTTTCAACGTGACGGACGCCGCCGAGGCGCGGCTCGCATGTGGTGGCGTTGCTGGTGGCGCACTCTTTGAGCGCTCGTCTGTCTACTACTGGCAGCAGCAACGGCGACCGCTGGCTGTGAAGCATGAGGCCATTTGCACCAAGAAGGTTGGGTTCCACGTGCTCACGTTTGGCAGCCACGGCAGCTTTCGCGCAGCAGCGCACACATTATGTGCAATAGTTCGAAGAGATTCCAGTACGGACAGCTGCACAGCACTCGATGCAAACCACCTTCCCCCCTCGATGCGCACAAGGGAGGTCTTCAGGACTCTCGGGATCGGCTTCTGGCAGTGGAAGCCACACATCATCATGATGCGGCTACGCGCTCTGCCCGCTGGGGATGTTCTCTACTACCTTGACCGCGATACGCCTGTGAGCCCAGCGCGGTCGTTGCAGCCACTCTTCTGCCTCGCCCAGCAAGTCAAGGGCAGCTTCGCTACCTTTCACAGCCCATGCTTTCGTGATCGCGCGTGGACACAGCACTCGATGGTCAGGGCACTCGTGGCGACGGACGCCCAACTTGATAGTGCCACTTCTTGGGCAGGCATTATTGGAATGCGAGCAGAGCCTGCGGCATTCGAGCTTCTTCAGCGCTGGAATGCCAGCACGTCGCTCTTCGCAAACACAGACTTCGTGAATTATCGAGACTCGTGCAAGCAGGCTCACGCCAAGCACGAAGATGCAGCCTTCTGCGATCACCGCCACGATCAGGCTGCAATCTCGCTGCTCACCAAGCAGGCGGGTGTCAAGAGCTTCCCAGTGCCTATTGCGAAGCACGACCCACGCGACGTGTGGGCGTGGGAGGCGGGCTATTGCGAGCCGGGGTTCAAGTGGCCGCTGGACAATGTGGGCCTGGGCAAGACGGACTATACTGCTATTTACGGCCCCGTAGCATCTCTTCGCAGCACTTGCAAGACTTTAAAGACACCGCAAGACGGTCTGACAAATATTGAAGCATTGCCTGACTACTCAAAGGCAAGCTGTATACAATGAACCTAGCTGAACCGCCACTAAGCCGAAGCGCTGGTGTGTGGAGCCCCTGCCCGCTCATCGCTGATGAGCGCCGAGGAAGGCAGTGGCCTGAAGAGTGCTGCGCTGTGCTGCGCGCTCGCCATTACCGGCACGCTGGCAGTGTGGCGTACCGCCGTACCAGTCGTGCAACTCAGCACCGTTGAGCCGCCCAGTCCACGACTGACTCCTGGACCCCTTTTACGAAGGGAGCGGCGGTGGACGCGCCGCCGTGAGTGCGCTGCTGCAGCCGAGTAATTTAACTAATTGTAAATTAGTTTGTACATGAGCGCAGTATAATTTACGCCATTGCGGAACTTAAAGGGGTACGTGGCGGCACAATGCGTGCCTATCAGCGCAGAGGCTGTCATCTTCTCTGCGGGGCAGCTCGTGCGCCTATGCGCTATGGGGCGCGAAGCGCTCTCCCCTAACCCACAGCGGTTGGTCCGGGAGAAAAACACGCGCTACCTACCTACAGTGGAGGTTAGGTTAGGTTAGGTAGGAAGGTGAAGAACAATTAACCTCGGATTGGACACCAGCGCGGTATGGGTGGACGCCTTAGGGGACCCCTAGGCTTAAAAGGGTGGGCCCTGGGGCGCCTGCGGCTTAAACGGCTTAAAACTTGCCTAGGCAAGTTTTAAGAGCTGCTGGGCCGCCGATTCCTTAAACGGTCTTAAACGGTCAAACGACTCGGCAGCCTCCCCGCGCCCTTAAACGCGATCACACCAATGAATGGTCTATACTCAAAACTTGCCGACGGGCGGCGAAAGCTCTTCGCTCGGCCCCGAGAGCGCTTCGCTCTCTGCCGCCCGCCCGCCCGCTCGCTCGCCCGCCCGCCCGCCAGCCTCCCCCCGCGCTTAAACGCTCTAGGCTCAAATGGCTCAGGTTGGGCGCGGTGTGCGATTCTCTTAAATGGTCTCTTAAATGGGAGCGGCAGCATGGGCCCAATCTCTTAAACGCACCGAGGCGGCTCTGGAGCCGCCAATCTCTTAAAAGGTCTTAAAAAAATCCGGCCCTCAGAACCCTAGGGGTCCCCTAAGGTGGACGCCTGCGTCGCAGACCCCTGACGCCAAGCAACCCGAACCCTGCAGGGATACACCGGTTGTGAGTCCGGGACCTCGGCCACGAGTCGTTAGGGGCGCAAGAGGATACAGGTTTATGCTGCCTATCCTCGCCGCGGCGGCGGTTGGCTTCAGTCCCTTACCGCCATCTCAAACGACGGTTCGCATATCAAGCGAAGAGGAGCTGACGGGCGCGGTCCTGGGACCACTGCCGGAGCTCGGTGAGTCACTTCCAGCCAGCCTGCAGGCAGTCTGCGCCGGTGTGGTGCCGTGCGCGGGACAAGCCGACGATCCAACCTTTCTGGTCGGGGCCGCGCAACCGTGCAAGGGGCAGGGCGACGATCCGACCATCGCACTAGTATCTCAGCGAATGTACAGTTTGTTCTTCGACAGTTTGTTCCAGGTAGTTCCCCGGGGAGGAACCGAATCGGTCGCTTCGAGGGGGAATTCCCCTGCACCCACCTTCCTCTGCTCCAACTCGACCGCCAAGAATTCCGAGTGGGTCGCCGAGAACGCGGGGCCGACCGCCGAGCCGCCCATTAAGGCGCCGCCCCTCCGCCCCTCCGCCCTGTTCCTCCCGGCCCGCCCTCCTGCCCCGCCCCTCCCGCGTCGCCCCTGCGCCCTCGTCTCTCCTCGCCTCTGCACTTTGTGCCAGCCCGCTGTGCACTGATGGGCGCTACGCCCACGCCGCCACCGACAGGTGACCTCTGCGCCCACAGCCGCCTACCAGATCGTCGAATCGGACAAGCGGGGAACGGTGACCGTCGCGCGCAACGTCATCGTCAGTCATAGCTGTCGCCAAGTCAGCACTGATTGTGTGTACAGGTGGCCGCCATCTGTCACGTTGAGTCGCTGGCAGGCGACCCGCTTCCGCCGCCCACCCCGCCCCGCGCGGCGCCCTTTCTCTCCCCACTCCCCGGGGCCAAGCCCCACCCCCCTCCCACCGTCCCGCACCCTCCGCCCCGAGTCCAGGCGATTACTTTTGCCACCTGCCGGAGGCGGCGTCGCTCTTCGATGCGCTCAACGAGCACGACGAAAAGATGCTCGTGCTGTGCCACGAAATCCCCGCCGGCACCGGCTCGCTTGCGCGCGGCGACAACGGGAACTCCTTTCTGGGTGCAGTTCGGCGAACTCCCATGGCCTTCCCTTTCATGGGCTTCGACAACATGCGCTCGGGCCGCCAGCTCGGCGAACTGCAGCATTATATTCTCGAGTGCCACGCTCTCCGCGTCGATTCCGTCGTTTGGCTGGAGCAGTAGCAGTAGCACGCAGCTGGGAGCCTGGGAGAGAGTTGAAGACCAAGAAAATCGCGATCGATCGATTGAACTTGTGGAAAGAACTAGGGGTTGAACGCGAGCTCTGTATGTATGTATGTAGGAAGGTGAAGAACACAGTCATCGAAATCTCTAGTCTTTCTTAGAGATTGAGAGAGGAGTGAGACCTGAAGATTTCAGGGCAGATCTCAGTCTCTTTAGTCCCGCCCTTGAGATCTCCCAAATCTTCGTCGAGACTTCAGCCACGAAATCTCAGTCTTCCCGTCGCTCGGTGTGAGTTTCTAGAGGAAACGCGTGAGATCTCAAATGGCGAAGATTCCTTTTCGCTTTGGGAGTTTGAGATTTCGATAAGGGGTGGAGACTGAGACTGTGAGACTGCAAGCAAGAGAGATTCCGTTTTCGATGCAGAATGCTGTGAACTTCCTCAACCTTCCAACGCCTTTATCTCGCTTCGTTCGAAAAACATCATTTCGGGACAAGCGAAATCTACTCGTTTAGGGCAGCGTGACTCGAGATTTGAGATTGAGACTGAAAGCAGCACGCTCGCTTGCAATGCTTTGCGCCGCCGCCGCCGCCCATCTCGCCGCCGCCTGAGGCGGTTCTCCACGAAGCTGTGGCCGCTCGAGAGTGAGGATGAGATCGTCGCGCTTCTCCTCGGCATGGCCCGCTACCCAGTCGACACACCCGATCGCGCAGAGGTCATCGCTGCCGACATGCAAACAAAGCACGCGTCCACGACCATCAACGTCCTCGTCAGCAGCATCGAGAGCGAGGCGGGCATCAGCGCTCTCGTGGATCTTCTCGACCCCATGCGCTCCCATGAGCAGGAGAAGTCCACGCCGCTCCACCTGGTCCCTTGAGTTCTGCGCCGTCTGCGCTTTGCAAGGGCAGAAGGTGCGCCTTGTGGTCAGCGACGAGCCCGTCCGTCCAACCGTATACTGCACGCACGGGCGCTTTGACGGGCTCCTCTACTGCAAGCGCTGCCCAGATTGCCGCGCCAAGCACAACCTCTCATATGCCGAGGAGTCAACTCGGCTGGCTCAGGGCAAGCAGGTGCCGTATGACGGCGCGATGGATCGGACTCGCAAGTACGTCCAGCTGTCCCGAGACATCATCTTTGAGGGCGAGATGCTGTGGCGCCTCGACACGCAGATGCTCCACTCGCACACCGGCTTTGAGCCGTACGCCAAGGAGTGGACGACCTTTGCCGACGAGCCGCCGCAGCTGGTCGAGCCTTTGCGGATAGCGCTGTCCCTCTCATCTAATTCGGCGTAGACCGCGCGCGCAGCGCGCTCCGTGTTTGCAGACCGCCCTGGCGGACTCGTTTACACTTCCAAGCTCAAGCCAGGCGCCGCAGGCCATAAAGAGGAGCGCAGATTAAAATGGCGCCGCAGGCTCCCCGGGCCCCAAATCTCAATCTCAAATCTCAATCTCAAATCTCAGACCTCAGACCTCAATCTCACTGCAGGTCAAACCCACCCAACCCTTCTAGAAGCTTCGAGGCTCTTGTCTCAGTATTCACGCCGCAAATCTCCAAATCTCAGCTCTCAAATCTCTAGGTTGGAGGCCGTCCAAATCAGTCTCAAATCTTGAATCTCGAGCGAACTCGACCGCAGATTCCTTTTGGTGTGGGAAATCTCATTCTCCAAGTCTCTGGTCTCTAATCTCAAAGTCTCCCACCGGAGGCCGAGTGACTGAGGTCTCAAATCTCAAATCTCTGGTCTCAAATCTCTGGGTAGCACTGTAGACCCGAGTGGAGTCTTTCAAATCTTTAAGCTCTCAATCTCTAAAAAAGACTAGAGATTTCAATTACTCGAAGAACAGTCAGGCTCGGGCGACGAGGGTTAGACCCACGTACGTCCACGCAGGTTTCCCCGCTTAACTGCAGGACACGCCCCCTGTACTCGGAGCTAGGTCTCCGAGCACCGAGGGATGGTTCCGTGTACGGTGTACCGGAGGTTACCCCTTAACCCTGCAGAACGCACCCAAATTATAAAGAAAGCGGCGAGACGCCTGCCGGGTGGGGACGGCGAGGCGGCGAGGGAGTTTTTCTCGCAATTGCTGCCCGCTGACCATGGCGCCGCAGGCGCCGCAGAGCGATGAGGCCTTCGACATCATGCTACCGCTCTTCGAGGTGCGCTGGTGCACACGTGGTGTGCTCGAGGGCCTCCAGTGTTTTCAAAAAAATCTCTCTCTGAATGAAGGCCCGCGAGTAGCCCCTCCCCATCCCAAGGGCTAGGGCCTCCTGGGGCACGCATCTGAACGTTTCATTCACGCATCTGAACCACTGGTTTGAAAGAAAGAAAGAAAGAAAACAGCCCAAAGGTTGCCCGCCGAAAGAAAGCCAATTCTTGACTTGGGCCCTCCGGCCTGCGGGCGGCCTTCTCTCGAGGTCTCGAGATACACAGAGCGGCCAAGCCCAAAGGAGGGATGGGAGAACGGCACGCCGCCACCACACAGGGATTTTAAGGAGAGGGGTGTGGTGCGCTGGTTTGAAGCGGATCACAAGAATTCTTTTTATCAGCCGCCGCGAGAACAGGCCGAGCCATGCAGGAGGCGCTCTTGTCGGAGGTGTCGCGGTACGTCGAGGAGGCTCGTGCCGGCTCGGAGGACGCTCTCCCGCCGCTGCTCGCCGCCTGCGAGCGCGTGCTCGCGCTCGCGCCCGAGGATGCGGAGACGCTGCGTGCAAAGCTCACTTGCCTGGTGGAGCTCGGCCGGTACGGCGAGGCGGAGGCGCTGGCTGCGGAGCTGGGCGAGCCGGCGCGGTACGAGCGCGCCTACGCCCTCTACCAGCTCGGCCGCGAGGCGGACGCGATGCGGGCGCTGCCGGCGGACCTCAGCGGCGCGAGCGGCGCCGAGCAGACGCTCGCGGCGCAGATCAAGTACAGACAGGCCGAGTACGGCGAGGCGGCGCGGCTGTTCCGGGCGGCGGCGGAGCAGGCCGCCTCCGAGGGGGACGGCACCGCCGCCGAGCACTACACGAACGTGCTCGCCTCGCTGGTGCTCTCTCGCGACTCGGCGGCGGCGACGTCGTACGGCGCGTCGCTCGCCGCGGGGCTCGAGGCGGAGCAGTTTGAGCTGGCGTACAACCTGGCTTGCGCGCACATCGGGTCGGGCGAGTACAGCGCCGCGCGCGACAAGCTCGC